GAGGACTAATGCACATCATTGTATGGTTCTGCTTGGTGCCAAAATGTTTACTATGGTAATGACTAAAGACGAGATGAAATGTATGAGTGCTGACAAAGAAGTTGACAATCAGTAGCAGTGGATAACATGCAGCAGCACAAAGGATAACTTGAGTCTTGACAGGCTAATTTTCCTACGCTTGCTCTGAAGGCAGCAAAGAGAAGTATCTTCTTTGGGACACTTCACAGAACATAAATTAGTCTGTTGCTCTGAATTGACCCCAGAGAAATCTCTCTCTTTCAGTTTCCACTGCTGAGGGATCTAGGGGAAATCCTAGAGATTCTCCTCAAAGACAGGATAATACCCATTTCCTGCAACCCTCCAAAAAATGAACCACTGTCTTACTCTACAGCATTCTAGATCAAATGAATGTATCCATATTTATCAGGAAATTGGAAAATTTGCATGCAGTATTTCAGTTATTTAATTTAGGTGCTTAAATGCCTATTCAGTTCTGTCTAGGACTTGTCAAAAAAAAAAAAAAAAAAAAGCATTTCATGTATGAAAATAGGCCACTTTTCAATGAACATTTTCAATACTTGGTTTCTGAGTAAGGTTTGTATTTTTTTAAGGGAAAATATAAAAGTTCAGTATCATTTTGCAGTAAAAAAAAAAAAAAAAAAAAAAAGTGAGGTTATCTACCAAAAACTGATATTTTTTTTTGCTATGACTTAGGGATAAACAGTACTTCTGAAAAATCAAGCTACTTACTCATAGATATACAACCTGGATTTAGATATCTAATTTTAGTCAAAGGTGCTTGAATACGTAGGTATTTATTTTCTCTTTAACACAACTGTAACATATTTGAAATTAAAACTACCCTTAATAGATCCTATCAAAGTTTATAGACACAGATGCATTTTCTTTCTGGTCTTGATTATCTCCTGACTAAACTCTATTATCATAGAATCATAGAATCATAGAATATCCTGAGTTGGAAGGGACCCTTAAGGATCATCAAGTCCAACTCTTGACACCGCACAGGTCTACCCAAGTTCAGACCATGTGACTAAGTGCACAGTCCAATCTCTTCTTAAATTCAGTCAGGCTCGGTGCAGTGACCACTTCCCTGGGGAGCCTGTTCCAGTGTGCAACCACTCTCTCTGTGAAGAACCCCTTCCTGATGTCCAGCCTAAACTTCCCCTGCCTCAGCTTAACTCCATTCCCGCGGGTCCTGTCGCTGGTGTTAATGGAGAAAAGGTCTCCTGCCTCTCGACACCCCCTTACGAGGAAGTTGTAGACTGCGATGAGGTCTCCCCTCAGCCTCCTCTTCTCCAGGCTGAACAGGCCCAGTGCCCTCAGCCGTTCCTCGTACGTCTTCCCCTCCAGGCCTTTCACCATCTTCGTAGCCCTCCTCTGGACACTCTCCAACAGTTTCATGTCCTTTTTATACTGTGGTGCCCAGAACTGCACACAGTACTCGAGGTGAGGCCGCACCAGCGCAGAGTAGAGCGGGACAATCACCTCCCTCGACCTACTAGCGATGCCGTGCTTGATGCACCCCAGGACACGGTTGGCCCTCCTGGCTGCCAGGGCACACTGCTGGCTCATATTCAACTTGCTGTCTACCACGACCCCCAGATCCCTCTCTTCTAGGCTGCTCTCCAGCGTCTCATCGCCCAGTCTGTACGTGCAGCCAGGGTTTCCCCGTCCCAGGTGCAGGACCCGGCACTTGCTCTTATTGAACTTCATGCGGTTGGCGATCGCCCAGCTCTCCAACCTATCCAGATCCCTCTGCAAGGCCTTTTCACCCTCATTTGAGTCCACAACTCCTCCAAGTTTGGTGTCATCAGCAAACTTGCTCAAAATGCCTTCTATTCCTACATCCAGATCGTTTATAAAAATATTGAAAAGTACCGGCCCTAAAATGGAGCCTTGAGGGACCCCACTGGTGACCGCCCGCCAGCCTGACGCAGCCCCATTCACCATAACCCTTTGGGCCCTGCCCGTTAGCCAATTGCTCACCCATCGTATGATGTTTTTATTTAGCTGTATGCTGGACATTTTGTCCAGTAGGATCCTATGGGAAACCGTGTCAAAAGCCTTGCTGAAGTCCAAAAAAATCACATCAGCTGGTTTCCCTTGGTCCACCATACGGGTGATCTTATCATAAAAGGAAATCAGGTTAGTTAGGCAGGACCTACCCTTCACAAACCCATGCTGGCTGGGACCAATGACTGCTTTGTCCCCCAGGTGCGCCTCAATACGTTCGAGAACCATCTTCTCCATGATTTTACCAGGCACTGACGTGAGACTGACAGGCCTGTAATTGCTAGGGTCTTCTTTCTGACCCTTCTTGAAAATCGGCACAACATTTGCCAGCTTCCAGTCTACCGGGACCTCTCCAGACTCCCAGGATCGTTGAAAAATAATTGAGAGAGGTTCCGCGATGACGTCCGCCAGCTCCTTCAGCACCCGGGGATGAATCCCATCCGGACCCATGGACTTGTAGGGATCCAGGTGGAGTAGCAGATCCCGCACACGGGATCTATGTATTAAATACATAATTAATTAAAATGATGTATTAAATACAGTTGAACAAGATAAAGAAATTATGCCCAGTAGTGTTCTACATTCACCTTCAAAAATACGAAGGTCTCATCCATCCTTTGCGACTTAGCTCACCTTGAGCTGGATTTGCTCAAAAGTTAAAGATTTTCTGTTTCATCCTTCAATTTCAAGTTATTTCAAAGGCAGCAGGGTTTTGTTTTGTTTTTATCTCATTGCTATACCTCATTTTGTATGTTAGCCATCAAAATTATCTATTGTCCCTTGGTTCCACAGACCTTACGCTAACACTGCTTTCCTAGTATACACATTGTATGGCTTGGGAAAGTATTTTTTCACTTTCTGTCCCTTTTACAAGGTTTCCTTGTAAATGTACAAACCTGCAACATTTACATCTCAGTAGCTTTGTCAGGAAAGAGCACTCAGCTGTGCTCTCACATTTGATTCTGGCCTTTACTAGAGCAATATTTGCCGTCACCATATTTATACCTTTCCTGTTTGCTCTTTTATTGAGTTCTTGGATTGGCTTGATCAGCCAGTGTGGCTGTGCTTCTGTGGTAGGCCCTTAACAGTGTCTTCTATGGGAGAACTTTGTATCTTTTAACCTTTTAACTTGTAACATAGGTGTTACCCATGAGACTGAATTATAGCACATCCATCAGAGTATAAGAACAATTCTTCTGCTCTGCCATCTCTGCCAGGAAAAACAAAACAAAACAAAACAAAAACACATCACTAGATCTTTTAAAAAGTGTACAGTATCTGCAGTTGATTCCTGCAGTCAGAGCAGTCCACAGCATTGATTGCTTGTCCACCTGCAAGAAGATAACTGGTACAAACTAGGAAATTGCCAAAAAAAATGCGACCCCATGCTGTTCCTATCCTGCTGAGGACTATATTTATAATGGAGTACAGCAGACTTGGCTCCCACCATGTCAGTGCTACACTACAAACCACTTCTTCCTGTTCAACCAAAGACTGATATTATTGCCTCTCCACAGCACAATTTTGCTGAGATCTGTTACAGAACCACCAAGGAAGCTCAGCAGTAGCTGAAAACCTTCCAGGGGTTAACACTCATTTAATGTGAGCAGCTAATTACATAATATTACATAATTACATAACACTCAGTGTTATAGCTGGCACAGGAGTAAATGGGGCCTGCAAAATGGTGGTTTTAATACATGCAATAGCTGGAGTAAAATATCTATTTTTTTGCTTTTAAATGTTTTTCACAGGATGTTTACTGTTCAAGTAGATGAAGACAAAGGCCAGACTCAGAGATTGCCAACAGACCAGCCCATCTCTGTTAGGAAGCTCTTTGTGGGGGGCATTTCTTCTCAGTTTCAGATTGCACCTCTTAGAAACATACCAGCATTTGAGGGCTGCATATGGAATCTCGTCATCAATGCCGCGTAAGTCTCACAAGTGACAATAAATGTCTGATTAAAAAGGTCTGGTTAACTACCTTGGCTATCAAAAGAAACTTCATTTTTGCAATGAATCATAATAACAGCAAGCCCTAAAACATATTCTGTTTTCTTAATATGACCTTGCTTTCTTGTCTGCAACATGCACTCCATAGGATATGCAATTAATTAGGTGTTTTGCAGACAAGACAACATCTGCTTATTTAACCATTAAATAGACCAGAGAAATCATCAGAAACACTGTAGTAAGGCTTTCCTCAGTGATAGGTATTTATGGCATACTATTTTAAGTAACACTGATCTCCAAGATTAACCAAATTCTGAGAACCACTGTGGAAATTAATTTGCTTTGTGGGAAGTGCCTTCCATGGTAATTTGGAAGGAACATTTAAATAGAAATAAAAGGTACAATGAATAAAGTAAAATCACTATAGAAAATCTTCACATAAATCTTTCTTTCACATTTCTTTCAAGAACTTAAATTAGGATTTCATCACCCCACACTCCATCAATGTACAGCAGAGAGAGAAGGACAGATCCACAATGTGATTTAGCCTACCTAGACAAGCAAAGCTTGCCAATGAGGGTGCCTGTCTCTCTACACTGATTGTAGGAAGGAAAGCCAACTGCGACTATCACTTCTAATTTAAGTGTCTCACTTCAGTACCTAAAACAGATGGGATAAATCCTGGCTGTTGTGTCCTGTGAAGTGAAACTACATAGCTGTTTTGTAAAAAATGAGTGGTAAAGAAGCAGAAAAACTAATGACAAACCTTGATTTCTTTGTGTGTTCTCAGGCCCTTGGACTTTGCTCAACACGTGTCTTTTGAAAATGCAGATATTGGCCAATGTCCATCTCTAGAACCAGAGGCTAGGCCACCTGAGGATGAAGACAAACCAATCCACTCAACAGTCCTGATCCAACCTGAGACAGATGGGGAGAAAGAAAAACCAGGAACGCCTCCTGATAAAGCCTCCCCACCCCCTCCAACACCATCTCTAGCTTCAGCACTTGTAAGTACAGATCACTTCACTCAGGGAAAGCTTGAAAGTTTCTCTTACAAGGCAAAAATTAAAAACTAGCCATCAAGAATAATTAAGTATTCTTTTTTTTTTTCACAAAAGTAGCAACAATTCAGCATGATATTGTAAAGAGAACACTTTGTTGCAGATCAGTAAAACCTGTGGATAATGGAAAACTGGTTGATTGCACTTGCTTGGATTACCACAACATTATTTTAAAGAATGATGTAGCAGTAGAATTCCCTTTGGCTTGCATGCTTATCCCTAAACCCTCATACTTAAGGATGTAAGCCTACCAATACCTGGTCAGGGTTAGAAAGGAAATTTTCCTGTAGGAAATCCACATCATTACAATATTTCTTGTGCTGTTCTTTGAAGTACATGCTAACAGCTAAGTCAGTGACAGGATAAAGAAACAGGTAGACCAGAGGTGTTTGATATGACAATTCCTCTATTGCTATTTCATAAATTTTGTCAGGAAACTTAATAACCAGAACCCCAGTCAGTGCTGAACTGAGCTCAATGGTAATTGCCAGAAATCTGAAAATGCTAGACAGCAGCAAGCAGTCATATACAATGACATTTAAGAAGGAACTTCTGTCACACATGTAGCAGTTTTACAAGTTGATGCAGCATGTTACTGCCCAGAAAAGATATAAGCTTGGATATCTAAATATTAAACTGGATAATATATCCACAGGAGTATACTCTTCGGAGAAAATTCCTCTGCATTTTGTTACATCTGTATACAAACCATCACTTCATACACTATGTAGTTCAGTATGGATGAGATTTCCAAATAGCATGAAAGGACGCACATTTCATGGTTAGAAGCTTATTTACAGATCCATAATTTACAGTACTATGAGACTGTTTTGACAAGCTGACAAATTCAACATTTAATTTCAATTTTTATTTATATCAGATACATCAGAGTCAGTGAATTGGACAGTTTCTTCCAGAGTGGCTTCCCAAGATCTTTTAACCATTTGGGGATGAGCTTCCACACTGGATGAAAAGTCAGGATTAAGCAGGGATGTTATCTAGTCTCTCAGCTAGGGAGAAAAGAATATGAATTCACTTCATCAGTCATTCCTTGTTACCTGACTCGTTTTCAGAATTAGTATCTGGTTTTCCTTGAAAATAGGCAGGATGTCTAGCAATGTTTTCCTATGATCATAATGGTACAAAAATTAGGACAAAAATCTCTGATCATTAATTTATTAATTTATATTGGAGATTCATGGCCACCTTCACTGGCCAGATGTGGAAGAACGACTTTTCAGGCACTACTGAAGTCTCCAAAGCCCATACAACCATTTGCGTACCTGGAAATGGGAACTAAAGGTTCAAGATAGGCAAGATCCATCTTAGTTATTATGTAGCTCTTAGCCCCAGAATTGTATGTGTTGGACATTCATGTTCTAGGGCAGCATTTTTGATTAATTCCCACAAGGTGGAGTAGTTGTAAGTTTCTGTTTGGAGTTCAAAGTAAGCAAATATGCAGCATAGTAAGGCTACCATACCATAAAGAACCATGCAACAAGGTAAAAAGGGTTAGCCGCTCTTAATGATCACTGTTATGAAAGAGCACAGGCAAACTAGCAGATATTGCCCCTTGAACAAGCATTATTAAAAAAAAAAAGAACCTGTGATCCCTGCGATCACAGAATCATAGAACAACTTGGGTTGGAAGAGTCCTTAACGATTATCTAGTTCCAACCCTGCTGCCCTGGGCAGGGATACCACCCACTAGATCAGGTTGCCCAGGGGTATCACTTATAACACTTACCTAGTATCTAGTTCAGGGAACTGCTGTAGGGTGACTGGCATCCCGGCACTGTTCTCTGCAGGGATCCTCATGTTTTGTGTATTCAGGGGATGTCTATCCCTCCCTGTGAGTTATCAGTCTCCTTCCTGCACTCTAGAGGTACAAGTAGAAATATTTGCTGGGGAACACTTAACTCTGAGCAACATTCCCATCTCTCCCACTTCCCAAGCAGAATGTTGAACACAGACACCTCTCTAATTCAGTAATTTACAACCAAACAGATGAACCAGGCAGTGTAAAAAGAAGCAAGGAAGAATAAGAAAGGCAAGGCAGAAAACAAGAAGAATATTGTCTATTTATTAATACCAGAAACTAGTTCCATTAAAACTAGGCTAGTTTTATATAACTTATTGAGAGCTGTGATAACTTGAAACAGGTGTTCAAAATAAAAATCTAAATAAAATACCATTATTCCACTTTCTTGTTCAGAAAAATGAAACAGTTTTAGTATTCTAAAGACCATTTTTGTTTTGTTTTGTTTTTTAAATAAGGCAAGCTTGTGGACCATTTTTATATTTATCTAAGTTCTCCAGTGTATTTTTCTGAGGCATGTTGCAACAAAATAATTAACTGTTGTTTAATAATGAGATAATGACAGTTATGCAGAATCCCATTGAACAAAGATTGTATACAGAAAATATATAGCAAAAAGTCATTTCTATGTAAGAAGCTTAAATAAGATATCTGTTTTATTTAAGTCCTTTTAGGAGCTCTTTTAGATCTCCACTATGCATCTCCATGGAGAGGGGGAGGGGGAGTTTAATTCCAAACGGAAAAAAAAAAATCCTCTAATAGAGGCAAGACAAGACCTAGAAGTACAACAGTTGGGAAATGCACTGGCTACCAGTCTGCTGCTGCTGCTTGCTATGAGTGCCAAAATGTTTCTCAACTGAGACCAGTGCTTGGGTAACTGCTGCTTCTGCCTCATGTTATTCACTGCTTCTCAGGATCCGCTTGCCACTGAAATGAAGAGTGCCAGCATTACATCTGCATTTGACCCCATGACGGTATCTTCCAACATTTTTCCAAGCATTACTTCATTGCTTTACTAACACTATTTGAGGAGCTGTGGGTACCGTTTCAGTTGTGCTACCTTTTTTCCTACTTCCTCTGTGATTGCTAATACAGCATTGTTTGTCGAGAATGTGTGACACAGTCCACCAGTGGGCTTTTCTGTTCTTCATGCCCACTGTGATTCACACTTAGCTTCTTGACTTACCAGCTAAGTCCCTGACACCTGAAATAACTGAAGTAAAGTTCAGCTGAAGAGCTCAGTCTTGAGGCTCTCAGGTAATATGGAAGATTATTAAACAGATGCATTTAAATGTAATACACCTTAAAGCCATTACACAAAAAAAAAAAAAAAAAAAAAAAAGCCAGGATATTTTAATATAGGTGTCTTATGAAGGCTGTTAAGCTGGCTGTCCTTAGCTGAAGTGAAATCAGAAATAGGTTTATGAATAAAACCTGGACATTTTTAAGCATGCCCTATGGATGTTTTTTATTGACATTTCTTCATCAACCTAAGGAATGCTGCCTTTTATTGATCAGTATTTATCCATAATTAATCAGTGTATGCTTGCTATGATTCCAACCATTGTGGATGTGTCTGGCACGTTCCCCCACATCTTGCATTTTCTTACAGTCCTCCAGCTGGGATGCAGAAAAACTGCAGTGTTCTCTGGGATGTAGCTGCAGTGTCAGAGCCAGACCTTTCTCTAATATAAGCCAATCTAGCAGGCAATTTAATGTCAGAATGTGTCCTCTAACTATGCAATATGCTACAGGAAAGTAGGTGCTAGTTAATTTTTCAGTTCTTTCCTGTCATTCCAGCACCAGTAGTTAGTCCAGATCTCAAAATTTTAGCAAGTCTGACTGTTACAGAATATATATAGTGTATATATAATATATGTAGTATAATATATAGAGAGAATTATTACTAACATAGTTGTGCAGCTGCATGATAAACTTGTAAATATTAAATCAATTAGATAACTAAAAACTTCACCCAGCATTAAGAGAATAAGGTTTATTTTTCTATTTGATGATCACTGGAAGACTGTTATCACACATTCATAACTTTGTTTGGTCCCGTTGAATTTTCATTGTTTTTTCCTTCATTGCACATTGACGTGTACTTGTCATAATGCCTGGTGTTCTGCTCTGTCATGTTCCATACAGAGCGTTATTGGGGAAAATTCAATTTAGAAGTTCTCTTCATTGTTGTGAGGGTCTTTGCGACGTGTGAAAGCAAAAAATCTAACGCTACTGAAAACCTGAGTGAGAGGGAGAAAGAAAATTCCTCTTTGTATTTAAAATCTTAGTGGCTGATGCGTCATTCATGACATTTTCAAAATGTTTCACAGAAAGAGCTCTTTGTCTGCAAAGCAACTCACCTTGTGTTTTGCAGGTCCCTGCTGAGTCAGGGCTCAAATAACAGATTGTCACCAACCCAAAATGATATCAGCTACAGTGCTTAAAAACAGAGCTTGCAGCTATGAAACTTTTGTTTTGTTTTGTTTTCCCTGTAGTATTGTTGTCCTAGTAGTGTTGTGTTAGATCCTCTGAGCAGTTTCTTCACAATACTCTCAGTGGGAGGCAAAAGCTAGACCTGAGTAGGAGCTGGTAATTACCATAGTGTCTCCAGGCACCCACATACAAGAGCTTTTCAGCTAGAGATTGGAAGACCTGGTCAAATTAAAAAGGAAAAAAAAAAAAAAAAAAAAAAAGGAAGATATTTTACCTGTCATTGTTGCATCACTCTAAGTTTAATAAAAGTGAAGCAGACAGGGAGGGGCTTCTTCATTTACGCCCTGGGTAAAGTGTCTGCCAGTAAAATGAAGACTCACTGAGAGGTGCAAGGTCTGAAACTATTTTTATCTCATTTTTAAGTTGACTAGTTTTCAAGTCAACAGCATAGTATCCCCTTCAAGTTTAAGTCTTGCTTCATTCCTGTAAGAGGGCATCCTACAGTGTAAAACTCAGTTATGTGAGCACGGAGTACACTGAGCTGCCTAGAAATCACTTAAGAATCTTGTAAACGTCCACTGATGGCATGAAAGCAGCAATGTTCGTATAATACTTGTATTTGTTTTTACAACCAGCTTAATGAGCTCTGCTTTTAAAGCAAGTTCCTGTCATGCTGCTTTATAACTTCAGCTTGTGGGATGAGACATCAGCATGCCAGAAAACTGCAGGGCCAGTGTCTAGACTAGGAGAAATAGTCTGATTCCCGAACAGCTGGAGGACTTCCAGCAGGTGCACAGCTGAGATACAAAATATGAAATTTTTATGAGCACTGTATGTTTTGCAGGATTCCTGTGCTGCTGACACAGAACCAGCCATTTTGGAAGGTGGGAAGCAATTTGGTCTTTCAAGGAACAGCCACATTGCCGTTGCGTTTGATGACACCAAAGTGAAAAACAGGTACATTGTTTATTTCGGTAATGAGCTTTCATGGGATAATACCAAAATAAAATTCAAAAGCTTCTCCAACAGTTATGGACATAATCTGAAAAAGCTCATGTCCTGTGGCTAATTCATTTCATTACACTAACATAAATAATGTTAAAGCATGGAATCTAGGCAATGAAATGTCCATCCAAGTAACCCTCTCAAAAACAGGTTACCTCTTTTTTTTTGGTAAAGGTTTGGGCACATGCAAAACCTAACAAACCTAGACTGACTTAAAGAAAAACAAACAGAAGAGTGTAATTTGGTCACCCAAAAGAGTTCATAGGTTGCTTTTTGCAAGGAAGTTTCTAGGTTCAGTAACTTGACAATTTATGGTAATAAGCCAACCTTCTTTTTTCCTCTCCTGCAGTAGTTAAGATTGGGCATGCACAGTAAACATGTGAAATGACGTTGCCCTCTCGAAATATAATTATAAATACATATCCATACTGACATGCAAAGGAATTCCCAGACTTCCTTCTAAGAATACAGATGTTTTCAATGCCATACTAATTTACAGGTCCATCAGCTTCACGCTCAGTTGTTACCTACACAGATGCTGTACTGTGTATTTTCATTTATGCTAATTTTAGAAAACTAGGAAAACTATTAAAAGAAAAATATAATCCTATGGTCCTTGCATGTGCTCTTTTCAAATAAGAATCCAGGTCTGTCTGCTTTCATGCAATGATTTTTCATGTTATATAATCTACTGCTTTCAGGTACTGACTCTGCAGCTCAGCTAGGGCTAGGCTAGCGATCTGCTGCCAGTACAACCTTTGCATTCGGATAATCTAAATAATTTCCCAGGGTCCATTTCCAAGGTTCTTTGATGTAAAAAGGAAAGATTCACAAAAGCAATAAATGCATCCTGCGTGAGGTGGGGCCTCACCCTCAGTGTCAGCTGTCCTACCTGTGTCAGTGCAGGTATGGGGCTGGTAGCTTCAGAAGGGGAGGTAGGGGAGGTTTTCAGCATTACCAATCAGTCAGAGATGTCAGTGGTTTTCACAAGAGAGCAGACTTCCTCAGACACACCCCCATATTTTGCTGGGATAAATCAAAATTAGCATTTAATATTCCAACTGTAAATGCTTCCCTCTGCATCTTTAAAAGTTTGGTAACCTGTTTTCAGGCAATGCAACTCACTAGAAACTAAACATTTGCTGACTGTCACTACAGCTGTCTCTTACTTGTGAGCATTGTGTGTGTGGATGATGGATGACACCTCTGGAATTTTACAAATGTTGGGATTTTCTAGCAACAACAGCTGCAGCTGAGAATTGTATCTCCAAATTCTGTGACAAAGTTACAGTAAATACTGTATTTCCACAGTAACAGGACATTCACATGTCAGGGATCAGATGTGTGTGAAAAGCAATGCACACACGACTAAATTATTTTTCTTAACTCTGATGGGCAAGTAAAATAGTTCACTAACTGTAAAGTTTTGTTCGAGGAATGCAAAAAGGTAAAGTGGGTAATTTTATCTACTGATAATTTGTCTACTTTGAATATCTTTTTTTTTTTTGCATCCATTTTCTTGCTTGTTTGATTTTCAGACTCACAATTGAATTTGAAATCCGGACAATGGCTGACTCTGGCTTGCTGTTTTATATGGCCCGCATCAACCATGCTGATTT